AGCTCACATGAATACCATTCTAAAATCACTCAGCATCTACTGCAAATAGCATCTATGAAGTATGTTGACTCAGAAGTGATCTAAGATCACTCTGCTGCTAAAAGAGAAGGTCCTGCCCTTCTCTGAAGAAAAGAAAGATTGTATTTCAGAGCAGGAAAAGCAAGCTGATCTGACCTGTACGTGGCCTACAAATGACTATTCAACATTAAAGAGGTGGTAAGAATGTGCCTTTTGGTGGTAGCAAAGCCCTAGGTCCCCTTAGTGAGGCCTACATACCTTAAAAAAGAAGTAACATGCAATATCTTTGATACATTAACTACTCTTACTGAATAGTTTTATAGTCTATCAGGTAAATAAAGAGAGAAGCTTTTATTTCAAAACTATTTTTAAGCAAACACTAAGTGGAAAGTCACTGAATTTCTAAGGAAAACCTGTTTTTTAAGATGAATTTTTAAGGAACTTCTACTTTACTGTTACCTCAGGTAATAAAGTTAAGTGTGTCTATAGGTTCATAGGACTTGAAGATCAGTGCAGGAAAACTTTTCAATCTAGTAAAACACTCCAGGCTGGATGCTGTGAAATCTTCTTTTCTTATCAGAGTCCTAATTTTCTCTTAAATAGGAGGTTAGTGAGCATTGCTGATGTGAGGGCAATATTAGATTTGGCAGAAAAAAAATTAAGTCCTCTTTAGTCAGAGGAGACAATGTGACTTTTAATTTTTGAACTGTTGTCTTTGCTATATACTTATCCCCCCAAGAAACACATTCAACCTTCCCTGTTTGTTCCAGAAAATGCAAAGTCCTCTGATACTTTCTTGTGGTATTCAGCTGATGGTTTTAGAGGAGCTTTTCTGTTTTATGCCTTAATAACTGCTTCCTGTCTGAAATAAATTGCATTTTGGGGAACAACCTGACTTTTGGTTTAATTGTCAATAGTTGGAGCAGACCTCTAGCAGTCTCAAAACGTATTTTAAGTTTTTGGGGATGTGATTCTGCCCTTCATTTTTTGAGGCAAAGCTCCTCTTTATTTTCTCCCTATGTTGTACACCATTCACCAGAGAGCTTGGTACAGGAATAATTGTTTTTAACTTTCTGCTATCTTGCATCTTTCAGCACATTGTTTTATATTTTTTCCATTTGTTATGCCACTAGGGGGGATAGTAACTTCTTCAGTTTTATGAAGACTGTTCCTAAAAGCAGCAGAAATGAGAAAAGACAATATTATGGTACCATAAATGAGCTACAGGGAACATGGTCTAGATTACAGCTTTTTGACACTTTATTTCACTTTGTGATTTTTAATGAAAATACTATATGGATATTTTGTACTGTGTTGCCGCAAGTCTGTCTACCCCACATTGAATAAGGCAGAAGTAACTTTACTGAAATCCATATTTGTGACATTAAAACTACTGTAGTGAAAAGAACCACACTGGAAGTGAATCTATAGGAACAAGTGTCGTGTCTGCTCTGTGTCCATACAACTGGAACAAAGGCAGAGCCCTGGAGGAATGGACAGAACCCCAGGGAATGTGCTGAAGGTAATAGGGTTTTTCTTAGTATGGAAACCCACTAATTGTGTTTAAAAAAAAATTAAACAAACAAAAAAAAGAAATAACTTCAACTGCAAATTTACCCATTATCCCATTATGGTGTCAGAAATGCTATCATCTACCTTTTCTTTATAATGTAGTCTCTTTACTAACCTCACAGTAAGGGATTGCTCCATTGTTTGAAAACCACGAAAATTAGCACACAGCTTGAAGAGAATTTGTAGCATAGCTGTAAAACTCAGTTGACAAAATTCACTAATAAGAATTTCCAATTAAAATAATTGATTAGGAATTAATTCAGTTCATTGATTCACATTTTTAGCTTGCTTAGGATACTAATAACACTTCAAAGCGGTCTGCTCAGAATGGTTTTATGTCAGTTTAGGTCAAGTTTGCTTCTAAAGTAGCCTCTTAATAGAGTGGAGGCTTGCTGTTTGCTGAATATGTCTGTGTGGGAATGCTTGTTAATTGGATATTAATGTCCATCTTCAAAGAGAGGGAAGTAGCTCCTAGATTTAATGAAGACTTAAATGCTCTTAGTCCAAGGGAATATTGTTTAAAGGATAGCACCTTGGCTTGTTGAGTCTTATTTGCTCTGCTATACATGTCAGTCATGTGGAGTTGGCCTCCAGAAACAGGAATAATTTTGTACATTGTTTTACGTAAACATATTCTTCCCTGCCCCACCGATGCACAATGGAGGCTATTTGAAGGCCATCGGCACTGAAATTTATTGCCCTGAAATTTTTAACGCTGAATTTGTATTAGACTACTACAATCTCTATTCATGATAGTCACAGAAAGAACTGCAAAATAGTTCAGATTACTAAAGCTAGTAGCTTTTAAGAACTGCCAATGCTATACATTGAAATTTCAAGTATTTCTTTGTTCAGGTTAACACTGAAGAATAAGGAAAAAACATCTATCATATTTTGGCAACTTCTATGTTATAACCAAAAGCTCAGAATATTCATCTTTTCTATCAAGCAAAATATTATTGTACCTCCCTTAGTCATCCAATCTTTCAATATATCATTATTTCAAAGAAGATGGAGCATAGCTGCTGACTGCCTCTATGGGGAGGTCAGAGTGACAAGACACAGGGAAGAAAGAACACTATAAATATCCTCCATTCCCGGTCTCCAGATTTCTTCAAGTACTGAAAATACTATTAGTAAGTTTTGCCTATTTGATTTTTTTTTTCCTAGCAACAGCTCATTTTTAAAGGTATTGGCTCAAAGCGGAAAACGTTACCTCTGATTACTTTACCTCTAAAAATAAGTAGGCATAAAAAAAAAAAATCTCATTGAGAGACATGTAGAAATTTTTGGAAGTATTATGTTGCAGCTCATTTTGAAATTATAATTAATGGCTTAGTAAATAAGAACTAAAGTCATATCTACCCAATTGTTTACCTTATACCCTGAGCAGGCAAACACTATCCACTTGCACACTATCCATGGAGACATGCCAATGAAGTGACGCAGTCACCTGTTTGACAGATTGAAAGGTACAATTCCACATAGATGGCATGGAATATGCTAGAGCAGAACATATCGAGCCTTTTCATACTTTCACCTTCCCTATGATAAAGACCCATCATAAAACTTTATAACATCAGAAGGGAGAAAGAATAGTTGTGCCAAATTGCCACAGAAACAAACAAAAAGAGCAAATTCAACTATACTGAATGCTATCAAAGCATATCCTTTCCTGGGACGCTTTAGACAAGCTGCTTTAAACTTTCTTATATATTGCATTCTTTTTTTTTTTTTTAAGAGTTGTTGTTTTATATATGCTGTTTTTTCTGTCTATTTTCTCACCATCACACTGAAAATAATAAGCTGGCTACCTCTCATATCAAATACCTAGTGTTAACCAAACCATCAGCCACATACAGCTCTGACTTCTAGAAGAGAAGAAAATAAATTTTGCATGCATAAAATAACAATAGCTGAATCACAGCTTTTCATAAACAACTTAACTTGCAAACACTTCACATAACCTAAGATGAACAAAGCATCAAAAAAATGAAAGCAAACCTTATTTGAGTTTTTTTTTCTATTACTTTTATTAGCTACCTGCTATCCATACTCACCTGATGGGAACAGCAATGACCATCTGTCCTATAATTGATGCTTGAACTATGAAATAAGTATGACAATATTGGGCAATATAAACATACCGTTAGTAAGGTACCTTTGAAAAAATTCATAATCAATAAAATACCCAAATGGAAATAATTTGGAAATTTTAAAAATATCAATAATTGCACCCATTTTAATACAAATTCCAAGCTAATTTCGGAGTATTTAATTTATTTATTTGAGATGACGCAATAAAATGGGAACAGAACATTTCTACATTGCAAAGAGACCATATTGGCTTATAGAATAAATCATGGGGGTTTGAACAATAAAATCAGTTAGAAAATTCGGAAATAGTTCATAGGTATTGTATTTCTTTTAATAAAAATGCTTTTCAAAATACTTGGGTGGGTGGGGAAGTGGTACATCCCTGAAAAATGAAAACGTGGTTCTGCCCTAAGTGAGGACTGAAAATGGAATCACGCTATTGCACACGTTTCATTATAAGGTCCTCTAGACCAGGGCTTCTCATTTTACACAGAAAACTTTTTTCCTTTTAAATGTCAGTCTGCAAATTTACCTTCAAGTACAACAGCCAAACTGATTTCTTCCTTCTTGAACGTTCTCTTTAAAAATTACAATTATGAAGCTGAGACTGGTCCTGAATGAAACTTGCATAATGTGGTTACATTCAGTTGGTTTGTCCCTAATCCAGCCCCCATTTTCACCTTATTTCCTTATAATTTGTGGCATATCTATCTTCCTAGTACATTGCCAGCTGGGTTTTTCTCCATTTTAGATGGAGTGGACTGTAGATCCTTATAACCTTTTTAGAAAATCAATTCCTACTGAAATGTCTCAATAAGAAGACAGTAATCAGGATAAAAAAATGCTTTCACTCCCACTGCTGGTTGAGCATGCCTTGATTCATGCATGCATGTGAAAGCCAATTCTGTACCTGGAACAAGATAATCTGAACAACTGGGACACATGGGAAAAGTATCTTGTCACTGTGGCTTAAAAAGTTTGATTTAAAAGAATAGTAGGAGTAAGGCAAATCAGAAGCATTTTTTTTAACCTTTCAGTATATTCAGACTGAATTATAAGATAGCTTATTAGAATAGAAATTTGTCTTTTTTTCTTTCTTCTAATCTGTTCTTTGTTCTGACTAGAGAAGAAACATGGCAAATATAAACAAGTATGGGATTATTATCCACTTTTTTAACAGTCTTGGAATGAAGTAAGCATAACAGTTTTTTATAGCACTGCAATAAGCACCCTAGTTCCCTTACTGTGAGGTGGAGGAAAAACACCAAAGAAAAGATTTTTAAACAAAATATATATAAGTTATTAAACCTTACCTTGCCAGCCTGGTTTGCACACTGGTTTGACATTAACTCGGACTAAGACATCTTCTGTTGCATGTTTTTGCCCACAGTCAAAAGCTGTTACCATTATCTCATACTGGTGCTGTTTATCATAGTTCAGTTTCTCAGTGTTTCTGATGTTACCTATAGATTCAATATAAGATAATACTCAGAAATTACTTCTTGGCTAAGCATATGCAGACTATAATATTTGGGTCCTGGTTAACCAAGTCCTTTGAGACCAGAAAGCTCTTTGAAGCACATGAGACATCCACAGGAAGGACAGTTAGGAGGAATGAGAAGCATTTTCTTTCAACACAGCAGAGAAATAAAGAAGTTCTTAGGCAAATATAAGACATTAGGCATATAATATGGGTATGTCTATATATATCATACATCTGCTCAACAATACCTTGTAAAGACTGTAAAACTAGTTAGTGGTTATATCTTGAAATGTAAAGTATGAGTAGGTGCAACCTCATTTTCCATATCTTCCCAGAATACACTGCTTTAACATGGCAGCCACATTCCTGAGATCCACTGCTGAACACCTCCCCAGCCTAAGTATTCTCCTTTATTTTCTAAAGCTATTACCCTTTAGGTGAGAAAGATTTTTAGCCCTTTAACAACTTGCCTTGGATTTTAAGAACAGGAAAAGCCCCAGAACCACCTTCTATATTAGAGCGCTTAGGAGTATTTGATATGACAGCACAGAATTATCACATGGAAAATAAAACTCAGCAACAACAGAGATTATCTGCTGCACCTCATACATACATAAAGGTGGCAAATTACCTGGTTTGGGTACAAAGACATTACGATGACCACACGGAAAGGGAAAGATTTTTCTCAGAGCACTTCCTGCAGGACTGGAAGATTACCATGCAGAATGTATGTTTTTGTAATTATCGACTTCAGCATTTTAATTCTGCCTGTTTTCACTGAAATGCACTTCCTGCTCAAATTGAAACTTGAGACTGTTGAATATGTTTTACACTTTTGCTCAGGGCTGTTCGTTATACTCTCTCTCTGAATGAGAACGTTTGTTCTTGAATTTAACAAACAAACTTGCTCTGGATCAATGCTACAACAACAACTACTTGCAAGCATGGATCTGCAAAATCAAGTTGTTTGGGCTAAATTTGGAATGGGGAGCACCTAAAGCCTGGAGTTTAGTCAAATACAGTGATCTGATTCCCACAGGTGCTGGGTAAAGTATCTGTTGTTAGGCATGCTGCCATTGTTTGGGGGTTTGGATGTCTGTGTGCGTGTGTGCGTTCATTCAAATGAATGAGAGACAGGCAAAAGCAGACAAATGAAACTTCTTAAATAAGTTTTTCACTAAACCTCCATTAGTTTGACGAGTAAAGACTTTTAGTAGGTGTCTCTCTCTGACGCACGCTCCTTATCTTGTCAGAGCCCGACACTTTTCTGACTACTACATAAAAGCCAACTTTAGCAGTTTAATTGAAGCTGATGCAAAACTTTTCAGGTCAGGCCTGAAGGAAGGCTGCTTTTGCAACTACCACCATCTTCTGGTTCAAAATTTGTAGTTTAAATAGAGCTTTACATCTCCAGCTACAAATCAGGCTCGATACCCCATTTTCTATTAACTTCAAGTCTTTACCCTTGCCTTTCTGAGCAGAGCACAGAGGAGGACAAGCCCTAGCACTAATTTTATGTCTCAAATGGAGAAGCAGAAGGAACCGCTGAAGGGTAATAAGGAAACAGTACTGTGTCTACAGCCTCCTTGCTTCTCTTGCTCACGCATCTCACCTTGCCAGGCGTTTTCAAGTCTGCCATGTAGATAGCTTTTCCCATCACAAAAGCAACTGCAATAACAGTATCAACTACTTAATTATTTTTGAGTTAGTAATTCTCAAAACAATTTACTCTACCCATTTTACTATCTTGAGTTGCTTGATTAGTACCCGCCTAAGAGGATTTAATGAAAAACTGCCATTGTATGCTTATTCATTTAATATCTGCTCAGTTGTTCTTTACTGCCTGCATTATATTATTTCTTACATGAATATTTATATTTTCCTATTTGGTTCTCCTTGGTATTATATTAGTTCACGATCAGCAGAGATAACTCTCAAGAAACGAAAATTATCTGAATCTAAATTAGAAGACTGCTAGAATTGGTGTGGCACAGTAATGATGCTCTAAGATCTACAAATCATTACAGCATATTTGCGTTTCACTAAAGCTGTCTTCTAATATTTCTATTTCATTATGGTCTTTTAAGATTTGGACTACAAAGATTCTGACTGGTCATTTGGATGTCTTGCAGATGTTACTCGACAGTTTGTTTATTTCCTAATTATTCTATTTTTCTGTTACCTCTGCTTTATGCTTCTTTGTTATTTTACAGCTTAGTCAATACAATTAAAAAGTAGACACAGAAGGGAAGCACTATATATACAGACTAATTAAAGTTTATGAGATGATAGAATGATAATTTCTATTTACATCTCACCCATAAACAAAAAGGTAATCAATAATATTAAAAAAAAAAATATTAATGGAAGAAGTAAGTACTTTTCTACACAGTTCAAAATTAAGCCATATTTTTTTTTTTTTCAGTCTTTCTAAATCTCTGCCTTTTCCTGGAAGTACCCAAAGCTATAACAGATTTTAAAAAAACAAAAAACAGGTAAGTGAAAACAGGAATATAAAAATTCCTGCCTGAGGACACACACATTTACCCCTCTGTTTCTTCAGGGTCAGTTTGTGAAGTGCTTCCCAGTAGTGGGTGGTAAATATAGCTATCCCCATTTTAGAGATGAGAGTAGGTCAGAGCGATGACAGAATCTGTATCTATATCTGAATTCTCTGATCATCTGACAATGATCCCTGATTAATGAAGGCATTACAACAGATCAATTATGATTTAATTTGTATGTTACCTGAAAAAAGCCTACGCAATATTGCTATGATAACTCACTTGATGATTGGGATTCTCTGCTAAGACGACAACTAAATGGCATGCAAAAGACCATTGAAACATACTGTATCTTATACCTTTAGTCCCAAATATTTCCATAGCAAAGCTTAAATTTATCCTTTGCATTTACACCGTGGTATTTTATGACGAAGAGTTCATTACCATCCAAGTTAGGCTCATCATATACGAGTCAATTTTATTAGTGTTATGGTTTCATAACACAATGTAATTTTATTTACAAAAAAAATTACATACCAAGGGACAAAGTTACCAAAGGTAAACGGCAAGCCTTATATTACCTACCTTTAAGTGCCTAATTTACAAAGATTTGCACAAGAGTTGAGTACTGCTTCCTGTGCCAGTGCTGGGTGCCTATCCACTTGTGCCTAACACAATTTGGTGATGTGAAGTAGACAGTGCACTGCTACAGTCTGAAGGTTCTCTCTTCCTTTCTACAAATGTTCCCCAACGTGTAATATAATTTTTCAAGACAATAAAATGCTCCCTGGATTGGTCTAGATACAAGAAACAAGTTTTGCTTAAAAAGACAATGATCTGCCAAAAGAAAAAAGCTGGTGGAATAGCATGTTCATCTTTCTAAAGGCCTGTGTTTGTGGTTAGTTTCATAGGTTGGTGGTGAAAAAAATCCACCATCTGGGACTGATAATGGCATGTTTTCCTCACACACCCCCTACTTCTGGGGCCCTCTGTAATATTTAGATTTGATTCTAAGCATCTAGTTAAATACTCTTTCTGGGCAATGAAATTCCACACTTGTATGTTACTGAAATGCAGAAAAAATCATAACGTGCAGAAGACAAACCTAGATATGTTTTGCACAATGGGTAAAAAACCCTATAAACAAAATCCTAATTAGCACATTATTAACAGACAGTCCCAGGGATCTCATACATCTATTGTAGTCATCCTATATGTAACAAAAATGGGCACGATGGCAAAGAATTTGCACCAGAGCAAGTTTATATCAGCTGGCATAGAGAGACATTCTCAGCAATGAAATGTGTTGGAACTAAGCAACGTATTGCTGTCACAAAATGAAAGTGCAACCATCTATTCTAACTCTGCCTCTAATCCCAGTGGGTTTAAGCAATTACCATTATCTTAAAAAATTGCAAATTAGCCTGCAATTACTGTTGATTTGGCAGCACTACGCTTTTAGTGAACAAATAGATCAAAAAATATTAATTGAATTCATGACCAAGAAACTGCAAGTATTACAACCTTATACCAATTACTCACTGCAGGCTTTAAAGTCATGTTTAAATCAATAATTTTCTCATTGCCTTTGCTGAAAAGCAGGTCCCAGGCACATGAGGACAAAGATGTAACCAAGGATTCCTGACACTTCACATGCTTTTGATCATGCCTCTGACTGTAAGAAACCCATGATCACTCATAAGCCAGCTGCACTGTGTGATAGGACCTGAAAAGGTATAAACAATAGAAATGTCTGCTCTGTATCATGCTAATATCAGTGTATTATTTATCCATGATATCTGTCACAAACCTGGTATGATATTATGAAACCACCTGTGACTCGTGTAAATAACCAGCCCCATACTATCAAGTCATGCAGAGCTCTGGAAAAATAATGGTTTCAAACAGAAACATGGAGAACTTCTTTTTATGGCAACATGAGAAATCTCAGAATTATAAAAAAAAAAAATCCATAGAGAGGAAAAGCTTCTAGAGAATTGCACACAAATACCCACTTTGGGTAAAAAAAATCCCTTGTGTGATTGCTCTGGCAAAAGATTACTGTGCCAGTTGACCTCGGTTACAAACATACTCATTATGATTATACCTCCTATATAGTATTCTTGCCTCCCAATGTATTATAACAAGAAGGCTTTTTTTTCCTCAATGTCATTTACAATTTATTGATGCTAACAGGTTATTATCTTCCGATGCTCAGCTGTGCATTGTGCAAGAACTGCACAAATAAAGATGAATAATTTTTGAGTAGGGGAAAAGGGCTTTATAAAACATCACAACATGAAAACGACTGCTTAGAGAAAACAGTAGCTCCATGCATGCTTTCAATTTCCAATTTGGCCAAAAATCAGATGTAACTTCCAAAGAGTATTCTCCTCCTCCGTACAACATGGATTAAATGCTTCTGTTAGGAAAGATAAATCAGAGTATTGCTGGGCATGCACACAGGGTGCTTGTGCTGGGGAAACAAGTTCTGTGAGCACAGGAATTTCCATTTTGTATTTCTGCACAACTGTGCACACGTGAATATCAATAACAAGAACTCTTATCTACAAAGTGATGCGAATATGGGACTGCTGAAGTACCTGAAAGACAAAGCTACTATTTTGTATTGTCTGAAGCAAGCAGAGAATGGGAGAGAGGATCTTCTACACATTTTTAATGCGGACCAGCCACCTCTCCCACACTCAGTGTTAAGTTCTGTGCTTTTCCCTGGTGAGAACTTGACTGGGAAAAGCAGAAAGCTGACAGACAGGGGCCGCCAAGGCCAAAAATTGCTGCATAAAAAAAAATAAATAACTTCGCTGCAAAATTTACTATGGTATATTATTTTTCCTATATTATATACATTAGAAAACCAACGAAAATCTAAAACCATAAAATATACTGCTTCTCCAAAGCATATTTTCTTCCATACTTTACAATAACGGATCTGCTTCAAGAAGCACCCCAAATGGGTAGATCTGTGGACCCGCTCCCTGAAAGTTTTAACAATCAATAAACATATCCAGAATATTGTCAATTCTACATTTAGACTCTCTTCCAGAAAGTTGAGAAGAATGGGACTAGCTATAAACGAGTGAATAAACCCTATTAGATAGGGCTACACGCTGCATTAGGAAATGCCATCACTAGTGTGGGAAACTAGATGTGAGACAATTAAGAGAATGGACTGAGTGACAGAGAAACATATTGCTCATCTAAAACTGGGGGTTTAATTTCCACAATAAATTACTTTGGCACTTTCTGACCTAATCTTACATTAAAGGGATGTAATTTCCCAGTGTGATGGTTCCTTCATTTTCAGAGATCATAACAGGATTACTCCCCAGTTAAAACTCAATCCAGGTTATCAGCTAGTATCAATAGGCAATTACACTATATACAGAAATTACTGCTATCTGTTCCAGAACTTACAATTGCTCTTTCTCCATACTCACCGTTTCTGTCAATAGCAAAAGGAACATCAGTTGTGACAATTTCATAATTGCAGATCTGGCTATACTGAGGGGAACAGTCCTCGTCAATGGCTTCTACCTGCAGTATGCTGTCGTAGATCTTTCCTTCTGTCACAGTGGCCTTATATACACTCTCCTTGAAAGCTGGTGAAAACTCATTGACATCCTTTACCTGGATATGGACCACTGCCCTAAAATAGGTAAATAAAGACATCAAACAGAAACATTAATTTGTCATGACACATCACTAATAGTTTGTTTTCAAAACACTTGAAAAGACTAACAAAACATATCTAGAAAACTATGTCAACATCTGCTAAAATAAGATATTATTGAATTTCTACGTTTAATTTGCCCAATTTAACATGTTAATGCAGCACTAGGTAAAAACATGGTGCCACAGCCTGTAGGGAGAGGGCTTCACGATGCTCCTGTTAAAATTGGTCTGCCTCTTAAAATGGACCCCAGCAGAGAGTCAATGTTATCATCCCAGTGTAAAATGGGTTAATAAGCAAAAGAGAGGAAAAGAATGCCAGTAGTCTTACATATTTACTACCTAAATATGGTCAGTTTATGAAAACTCTTTGATATTAAATAAGCCTCTCACCTTCTGCTGATTATAATTATTTAATGCTTTAACTAGTTACAATATTGTACGTGTAAACCTTTGAGGGTCAAAAATAACAGGCCTTTCGTATTTAATGATGCTAAAGGCCTTCCTTTGGAAGAATTTGCTATCTGGTTTCATAGGCAAGGTAACAGAGGGACAGAGAAGTGAAGAGACTTTCTAGATCAATGGCAGAGCGAGTAGTAAAGGTTGGGACCCCAGAGAGCCTAGCTTAGCCTGTGGTTTACTATACAGAGCACTACAAGAAAGTGTAACAAAGTCTGGTCCCAATGGCCCAGATTTCATTTGGTCAGGATTAGACTGAAATTTTCCACAAGCAGAACATACTAGCTTGTTACTGACATATGAGGGAAAAACATCATATAATTTAATAATATGAAGCAAAAACTGGTTCTGTGACTTGATAGTTACTTGATATTTCAGGCTTCCTTCTAAATATATATTTTTTAAAAATACCCTGATAAAATTCAGCATGCGTTGCAGAGCTAATTAAATGTTTAATTGTTGTGTGTCCTGGATGAGCAGAAGGAAGAATGATTACTATTAATCATTTATTTAAATGGCTCTCAGCAAAACGAACAATTTGTACAGCAGTTATACATCTACATGTGAGTTAAATTCATCTTTAATGACAAATGGTCTGTAGCTTGGTTTCATGTATTGGAGGTGAAAAAAGGCACTGTGCCACTTAAGCTTATGCAGGGAATTGGCTCCACAGTAAAAAGTACCATCTACTAACCTTCAATACCCCCCTCTTCCAGAGGATTTGAATTCCTCTGAGACTTGCTGTCCAAAAGCTGAGGTCAGAAACACACTGTGCAAAGGCAACATTGCTGCAGCTTATGCACATACTAAAAAAAAAAGGGTGATTTCTCTTTTCTTACCACTTGAAATGAGATGAACAGAGAAAAAAAAACTATTTAGAATTTGGAAGTGTCAATTAAAAGCTAGCTGCCACGTCCTTGATGATCTATTTAGTCAATATATTTAACGTGAAAGCAAGAATGGAAAAATAAACCAAAACTGAGATGCATTTCTCCACTTGAACAGGGATCCTATTAAAAGCTTCAAGTAGAACCATTGCAGAATGGGTCAAATTGCAGGAGGCAAAAGGGAAAAATATTTCGAAAAGGATAAAGGAATAAAAAGTGGATCAATTATTGCAACAATGGTTTGTCTTGGTTTTATTTGCTTTCTACCTGATCAAAATATAAAAAGGACCCCTTTGATCTGATCTGTACTGTACAGCAAATATATGCCAAAGCAAAAAAAAAAAATATTCTCATTTTCACCCACTTGTGAGATTTCTTCCAGTTTGTTCCACCTGGTCCTGATCCACAATCATAGGCCTGGATGATGAATGTATATTCCTTCTGCAGTTCACAGTCAATAGGCCTTTTTGCTCGAAGACGACCTTCTCCAGATGTCTTGTTCAGCACAACAGCTTCGAAGGGCATTTCTTGCCCGTGGATTTTAAAAGCACAGATTTCACCTGTGAGGAACAGCATAAAACAATCATAAACAGGGAGGTCTGATGTCTTAGTGACACTGGAGAAGCTAGCACTCATTTGTATTTCACATGCTGTTATAAATGAGGGAAGTATAGACTCAGGCATTGGTTTATAATACATCCAAAAGGGCCATTCGCCACGTGCTCGTACAGCGTGATGCAGTGAGTGCAGCTCCAGTCACGTACTTCCCTCTTCCGTGGTCATTACTAAATGGTTTCTTAAAGCCCTAGAGACTATTCCCTAGATATGGTACTAACATCAATGCTGAGCTAAATTATTTTTGACTAAATTAAGAAGACTGTATTTAGTTAAAGAAAATAGCAGGAAGAAAATAGAGAATATTTTAGAGGTGGTCTTTTCTAACTGCTGTCACTACTTCCTTGAGCCACTTGAGCTGCCAGGTGGTAGCAGATGTTCAGATTCTTGCAGTTTAGTTTCCCAACAGTGAAAAAACTAATGATGCAGAACATGGGCACATTCAAAATCTATTTTGCTTTACTTATAGACATATCGCCTCTAGAGCAGAACTAGAAGAAACACACACAAGTGTCCCTTTTGGACATCTCAGTCGCCCACCCACGTTCACACACTCATACATGAATGCCTTCTTGGCAGCAACTCACTCTGCCTCCAAACTGCCTCCTAATGTAATAGATCCATAGTTTCTCCCAGAGGAATACTATACAACAAAACAGATGATATAGCAAGAACTAAAAAAATTGATTTGGACACAAAAGACAACATAAAAAAATCTTGTGAGAATATAAATCTGGAAGGGGAAAAAAAGCCCCAGTTTCTGATGATCTTTTTTTTAATCTTTCATAGTGATAGCAAGGATATGCACGCTGAATTCATTTTTAGCCACTCCAGAATCCAACTTTAAAAATGAAATATTTATTCAAAGACCAATGTGGCTTAAATATTTTTATGACACATTACACACATGCTCTTTTATGAGCAAGTCAGTCTCAGGCCATGCATTTTAGATTCAAAGCAGTCTCCCACTCACATAATCCTTTTCCATTTATTTCCAATTTACAGTTGCAGCCTTTTGGAAATCTCCTTGTCAATCATATCTCAGTCAACTGCCAAATTCTAAATTAACTGTGAATCTATGACCTCTAATTCAAGCCTGGCTTCTCTCTCTCTTTTTCTATTAGAATATATTGTTTATTTTTAGAGAAGACAGTAGACAGTGACTTTATAAAAGTGCTGGAGTTCATAATTCCTATTATGTGTGAGGAAGAAAAAATGGGAAGGGTGTTGGGGGGGGGGAGAGTGGAGATTAGATACATTTAAGAGTATTAATGCCGGCTTTTTAGGATATTTCTTCAACTACTACCCCATAGGATTCACTTGATTATAATGGGAGCTGAAGCTGAGCTCAGCTATATACACTGACATTTAGGCAGATGAATCCCACAATTAACAATCATAATCAATCCTATGAATGTCTTTACAGGACCAGCACGCAGTTGTTTTAGTAATTATGAGCCACTGGGAAAATACATTAAGTATTTGCTTGGACATTTGCCTGCTCCAGCCCCTCACTCAAGTGGCATGAAAGGGTGGTGGTGTTTCCCAAGACAGACAAAAGACTGTTCTTTGCCAGGCTCTCTTTCCTTCACTCTCAATGACCCCAAATATTTGGGCTACAGAAGAAGGAATGGATTTTACCCTGGGAATCAGACTCTGCAAAACACTAATACTTTGCACATCCATAAAAGCAGGCTCCATAAGGTTTATAAACTGTTGTGTAGGAAATAAAGCACATGATTAAGAGAAGGCTGAAGCAAAGCCATTTGTTCAGCTTTTATCATGGGCACTGACCACTGAGTTTGTATTTCAATCTTGTCACACATACCTTTGAAAAAAACTACCCCAATTTTCCCTGAACTTCAAAACAAAACCTTCATCTAAAATGATACTGTGGGTTTCAGTTTTATTTTAATTAAATACTAAGATAACAGTGTAAATGTGGGAAGCCTAATGGAAAAATACTATTTATTGTGTTCTAAAACAGTAGCCTTCATAGTTTCTTAACAAAGAAACTATGCAGGGTTGGGTTTTTTTTGCCTCAGATGCACAATCCATCAACAGAAATCATGAACTCCAGTGCTTTGTGTTTATTATTTTATTGATCCACTGTTTGATTGTAAACAATACAGCATTTGCAGACATCTAAGCCTACTGTTCTTAAAAAACAGAAATAGCTCAGGGCAGGGAAAAAGTTTGCTCAGCCTTGGTCTAAACGTTTACCGTTTTTTCCTCTCCAGATGCAGAGGCCTGATGCAAAGCAATCATAGAAGCAGCACATGTTCTAATTAGGTCTCGGCAAATACTTCAGAAGTGTCTATATCCTGCTCCTATGCCAGATAATCCAAGCTTTATATATAACTCAATTTTGTCTTTTATATCCCCATTTACCAAAGATGAAATAATGACAGCTGCATGGATATGTGGAGATATTTGTAAACACACTACAAAAAACCCACATGCACTTCCAGATTCTGGCTACAGTAACAAACTTTTATAAAAACAAGTGTATATGTTTTTAATAACTAGGTAAGAATTTTTTCAGGAGAAGGATTCTACTCCTATTTCCAAAGAAATTAGTTAATACTACTGAAAAATGAAAACGCATAGTAATTATAATGATTCTATAAAGGTTCTGTAATTACTATATTGGAAATGGAAATGATAACAGAATTGTAACAGCTGTAACAAAGCAGAAAATTAAATAAAGTCCACCTTTACACTGTGAGACTAACACACATGGATATATATAACTACTATGCATTACAAATACACGGACATATATATAACTACTACTACTATGCATTACAAATAGAGTCTTTAAAGTATAACAGATACTATTTTTCATTATTAAATGGCGCTACAGGGCTTTATTTAAACCCAGCTGAGGTAGCCCCAGACCCACCTGATGCCAAGATGAATTGTGCCAAGCTTATATTCTTTACTGGGTTCTTAGATAGGCATTGTTATGTAACTCGGTTGAGGAAAAGGAGAGCGGGTCTCTCCCTTAGTCAGGCTCACCGCTTCAGTTGCAGAACAGCCATAGTCAGGACCTTAGCACCACCCCCACCTCCCTCCTCCTTTGGAAGATGGACATAATCAAGAGTGCAAATTGGGACATTGTTTTCCTCACAACAGACAACACACCAAAATACTAAGCTTTGATCTTCATTTCATTTGAATGGGTTTGAGAACAGGTGCATATAAGATTTAGTGATCATGAAAATGGTGGTGGCAGTGAGTTGATGAAATAGGGATAAGTTGGTGATACTGCACAAAGGTAGAAGCACCTTCATGAAATCCCGTAGCAATTGCATCCAGGGTAAAGGGAAAATGTCTCTTCTCCCAGGGCCAGGATGTACATCCTGGAGGTTTCCAGTTGCTTCCTATAAAATCTGCTGGTTGCAGGGTTTAACTATACTAAGAGTTGCTTCATTTGAATACATGTTTTAATTAAATTCTGGACATTATGTTTTCTCTTCAAATCATTCAAACTAGCATTAGCCATAAGCACCTGTTAATTTTGAAGCCTACATTACTTTGAGAGCTCTGGTAGAGATCCATACATTACTACTGCAGGGATAATATAATTTCCTCTGTAAAAATTATAATAGCCCCCAAAAGCTATTGACAGTTTATCCTTTCTGAAATATAACCAACAAATCTTTCCACTGTTTAGAAATTCCTAAAGATATGTTTCATACTCAGCAACACTTACACGCAAGATTTAGTGATTATAAGCCTTAATCAACAAAATTGTATTATAAAAATTACTGCCTTTTATTCGAAAACCCAAACTCATGCTTCTTTCAGTACAAATAAAAATCCCCAATGTTACACCTTTAAAAACTACACAGAGTTATTCACTGGAACTCAATTTCAGAAGTTATTAAAAAAATCGCATGCTTATTTTGCCTTTCACAGCTACCTTTGCTTTTTCTTCAGCTTTCATTACACCAAGAACACAGAAGACTTCAAGTGAAAAGCTGGGATCTCTGACATTTGATAATTTTCATCAATAGTTAATAAAAGGCAACAGTTGTACGTGAATCAGCAATCACCAGATGTTGTTTCATTTGGTTGTATGAGGTTCAAGAAGGCCAAGTGCCAGGTCCTGCACTTGGGTCACAACAACCCCATCCAACGCTACAGGCTCGGGGCAGAGTGGCTGGAAAGCTGCTCAGAAGAAAAGGACTCGGGGGTGTTGGTTGGCAGCCGGCTGAATGTGAGCCAGCAGTGTGCTCAGGTGGCCAAGAAGGCCAACAGCACCCTGGCCTGTAACAGGAATAGCGTGGCCAGCAGGACTAGGGAAGTGATTGTCCCCCTGTACTCGGCACTGGTGAGGCCCCACCTCGAGTGCTGTGTTCAGTTTTGGGCCCCTCATGACAAGAATGACACTGAGGTACTGGAGAGTGTCCAGGGAAGGGCAACGAAGCTGGTGAGGGGTCTGGAGCACAAGTCTTATGAGGAGCAGCGGAGGGAGCTGGGATTGTTTAGCCTGGAGATGAGACCTTAATGCTCTCTACAGCTACTCGAAAGGAGGTTGTAGCAAGGTGGGGATCGGTCTCCTCTCCCAAGTAACAGGTGATAGGAAATGAGCAGATGCCCTCAAATTGCACCAGGGGAGGTTTAAATTGGATATTAGGAAAAATTTCTTCACTGAAAGTGTTAACAAGCATTGGAACAGGCTGCCAAGGAGTGAGATTGAGTTGCCAACCCTGGAGGTATTTAAAACACATGTAGATGTGGCACTTCGGGACATGATTTAGTGGTGGACTTGGCAGTGTCAGGTTAATGGTTGGACTTCATGATCTTAAAGGTCTTTTTCAACCTAAAGAATTCTATTATTCTATGATTAATTCCAATCAGAATTCCCTGCATGTTCTATCCTCTCCATTGGCCTTATGATTGCTTCTGGAGTAGAGTTTACACAACTGTGTTCAGG